TGGACTGGATGGCCCTTGTGGTCTCTTCCAACTCTATGATTCTGTCTGGCTTCCTTTCTGTTACATATTCAGCATTTCTGTCCTTTAGTCACGCCTTGACCACTGTTGCCTATATTATGATATTGAAAGCTAGAACCTCACCTGTCCTTTCTTATCTTAGCTTCAACAAATAGTTGTTTTAAGCTGCCTGTTTCCTGGGCCAGCAGGCAAAATTGATCAATTTCCTCTGTGGTAGTCTGGATCTACCTGCTCCTTCCTTCCTTAAAAGAGGGGGAGAGAGATTGAGGATGGGGTTCTGCTATGAAAGCTGGCAGGCCATTTCTCCGCTCCCTTGATGTTTTTATGGATCTCCAGTTGGCAACCCTCTGAGTGGTTGCTTCCCCCATCCTTGCCTGCCTGCTTCCTCCATCTCCAAACACTCTATTTGTTGTGAGAGCCTCTGGAATGGTGGCATAGTGAGAGCCCAGCTGCAGCTTCTAAGGCAGGAGATCTGTGAAGTGAAGCAGCCCAATCAATGGCTCACAAAAGCCAGTTTGCAGCTGAGTAATAAAAGCTATGGGATGCTCTCACTGCAGGTGCCTCATACACATGCTGTATAATGACCCTTTTTGTTAGGAATCTCTATGCTATTTTCTGTCCTGGCTGTGCTGCTCTCCCTCATCTTCCTCCTGAATGGACAGGCCCCTTCTGCTTGTTTCAGGAAGACTATGCACAGCAGTTTTAATTCAGTGAGCATTGTAGTATCTACGAGCTTTGCCCTCCCCACCAAAAAAGTGGGATGAAGCATTGACAGGATAACAATTTATAACACAATGAATATGCAAGTGTTGCTTGGATGCTGAATGGGAGTCAGACAGTTTCCATTGTCAAGAGAATAGCATTTTTCTTCCCAGTACCTGAAAATCAACATATTATTGTTATTTTTTAAAAATGGCTTCTTTTCCCACTTTGTGGAATCATTGCAGGTTGGAGTGCTGCATGAAAAACAGTTGCATGAGTTGCACAGTGTCTGTGATGTCACTGACCAATGCAACACTATCGTTTCCCTGGACTGGCATAATTAAGGGAGTTCAGATGAACACCTTGCTATTCCATGCATTGGGGTGTCTTAACACCATCATTGTGAGCCTAACATCAGCATCCTGTCTGCACATAGGGGTCTGTGAAGGGGGCAGACTAACTTATCTAAGTAGTGTTCAGAGAAGCGGATACTCAAGTCACTTATAGCAATTTTTTCTTACTTCAGAGGAGCAACTCCTATGTATTCCTTGTGTTGAAAAGTGAAAGCTTTTGTCTTATCTGATGTGTCTGCATTTGGCAACAAATAAAATGCTCTGTAAATGCCACTCAGGAGGTATAAAGGGTGGATGCTGGTATCATTTGTGCATTCCTTCTTCATTCCTTTCCTTTCCAGTGATGCATCAAGCTCCCCTCATTTGTGTTCTCTGCAAGGTTTTTCAGGGTTGTCTCAGGAGCCAATTTTGCCTCCTCAGTTGAGCCTCCATTTTGCAAGTTGAATGTTCTCCCTGCATTTACATGCTTTAGTCATCAGCATTTTAAAAGAAAACAAGTTTCTCTTCTGTAGTGTTCTTTGCTTTGTCAGTTTTTGTTGTTTGTTGTTAACTGCCCTTGAGTCGATCTCGATCCATGGCGACCCAATGGATGAGACATCTCCAAAAAACCCTGTGCTCCCCTGCTCTGCTTAAATCCTGAAAACCCATACTCATGACCTCCTTAATAGAGTCATCTATCTGGTATGTGGCCTTTCTCTCTTCCTACTTCCCTCCACTTTTCCCAGCATTATTGTCTTATGAGTCTTCTCTTCTCATGATGTGTCCAAAGTATGACAGCCTCAGTTTGGTCATCTTGGCTTCCAGGGAGGTTTCTGGCTTGATCTGCTCTAACATGGAACATTTTTTCCATAACTCAGTGGAATTTTTATAAAAGGGACTCATCATGTTCATCTGTGTATTTTTTAAATTAATCTTTTTTAAGTGTTGGTTAATTTCTGTTAATTTCTATTTCTGTTGTTGTTGTTGTTGTGTGCCTTCAAGTCGTTTCCAACTTATGTCCATCCTAAGGTGAAGCTATCTTGGGGTTTTCTTGGCAAGATTTGTTCAGAGGAGATTTGCCATTGCCTTCCCCCAAGGTTGAGAGCATGTGACTTGCCCAAGTTCACCCAATGGGCTTCATGCCCAAGGGGGGAATCGAACCCTGATCTCCAGAGTACCAGTACAACACTCAAACCACTATGCCACAATGGCTTAGCTGTTTACTAGTAAATCCAAAACTACTCTCAAACAAGTTCTCTAACATCTCAGTCTGATTACTATTCTCTAATCTATTTGGTTTTCCCCGAATTTCCCCTATTCATTGGCTTAATATATTATCTGCTTTCCTAAATCAATGAAAAACCACCCCAAACTCATAACACTAGCAACAGGAGCAACAGCTTCTCAATGGGATCCCTCAGCATTTCTGCATGGATTGACTCAGCCATGAGTAAGTGAATGCCATCTAGGGAGTTTAGGAGTGTAGCCAAATTAGAACAGCTTGGATGAGCACTGACACCTTTGGCTACTGTCCTTATATGGTATCATGTTTTAAGCATTAAAGCTATTGCATGGTTAAAAAATCCTGCTGAAATTAACTAATGCCTTTGTTTCTGGACAAACCTCAAGTACTGACACCAGTATCTACCGGTATATGTTTTGAAGTTCTAGATTAACGATATCACCATAATGTTCATAAGCAATATTATCGCTAGTCTTTTTTGAGGGGTTGCCCCTGGACTCCAAAACTGTTTTCCATCTGTTTTCTTCTGTGTTCTGTTTTCTTGGTTCTTTTGGCTTTCCTTCATGCAGATCCAAATCTTGGGCAATGCAAGATCTATATTTTAACATACCACACTCATCTGTGATTTTTCCCCCAAATCACAATATGAGTATTTCCACTTTTAAAAATAAACAGTTTAAATGGAAACACCCCATTTTATGCCTTGTTTTTGTAAGATTTCTATACAGTGTCTGAATGTTGTTGTTTTTCTTTTCTTCAAAGCAGGAAATCTCTTGGGAGAAAAAAAATGCCCTTTAATTTCACTTGTGATAGACTGTTTACCTTCAGTAATACCAGTGTCTTTTGAGGTATTGGGCAAACTTTATTATAGCCACTTTGAGTTCCTATGCTGGGGGAAAGGTGGGATTTAAATAACAACAACAACAACATTTATATTTCTGGCTTGGTTTTTTATTAGCCACTCAGCACCCACTGCTCTGTGCACTTCCTTAAAATCATGTAACTCAGTTTATTAAAACACTGTAGCAGAAATTGTTCCATGCTGCTATTCCTCCTCCATAACTCAGCAGGGATGCACATTTGTGTTGTAATTTCTGTTTTCTGAATCCTTCCATTTCTCTTGGAGTGCACTAGTAGTCTCCTTGAAATGTTTGATTTGTTTGTTGTGACTAGGAGATTTAACCATCACTTTTCCTGCCATCTCTTCCATCTCATCTAATCTTTAGTTAAGTTACGTTAGTGTTCAGTTGACTGGGATCAAGACTTTCCTCCATGCCTCTTGTAAGTTGCTTCTAAATCGGATTAGCATTTTACATACTGGCAAAAATACATTCCAGTTGTTTTTTTTTTAAGTGGATGGACAAGAGGAGAAATAAAGTATCCACTCCCAAAGATGGACACAAGCACCGTTGCATACTCAGAGAAAGCAGGTCTCTTTTCATTCCATTCTAAGGACGTTATCACACGTGGCCCAGAAACTGAAAATAAAGTGGA